TTCCTCAAACTGCTAAACATGGAGCTTCCCTATGCCCCAGCAACCCCACTCCTAGGTATCTACCCAAAAGACACAAAAACACTGATTCAAAAGATGCCTGCACCCCCATGTTTATTGCTGCTTTATTTACAATCAGAAAGACATGGGAACAGCCCAAATGCCCAAGAGTGGCTGACTGGATTCAAAAGATGTGGTACATATACACAATGGAATATTACTCAGTAACCAAAAAAATAAATAAATAAACACATGCCTTTTGCAGCAACATGGATGGAACTGGAAAAGATCATGCTTAGTGAAATAAGTCAGAAAGAAAAGGAAAAATACCGGATGGTTTCCCTCATAGCAGGAATATAATAGACCAGGTGAGAAAAAAATAATAATAATGAATAACTATATACCAGAGACATTTTATGGGGGTGGAGTGGGGAACATGATCAAAAACTGTGGGGGGGGGGATGCACTGGACTATGGTGATGGCACATAGGTGATTTGGTGATGGGAAGCCCACCGGGATTATAACTGAGTTGGAAAAATACACAAAATGATGTAAAAATAAACTATTATTAAAAAAATTAAATTAGTGAAAAAAAAAAAAAACAAACAAAACCAAATGTGTTCTGCCAATAAGAAACTCACTTCAACGATGGTTGCTGCAGCTGGTTGCTTTACTGTTTGAGTTGTAACCATGGACATGCTTTAGCTTTTCAATTAGCTGTTAAAATGTATAATGAGATCACAAAGAAGCAATGAATTGTGCTCAGAGCAAGGGAAGGAGATCAGGAAAGGCTACAGAGAAGCCAGCCTCAAACTGCTGAGGAGAGGTTCTGTTAGGGGGAAAGGATGTCCTGAACAAACTCTGCAGATACAGGTTTTGTGGACTCCACCCCCTACTCCAGTCACTGAAGCTACAACTCCCAGCAATACCAAAGGGAGGACTGTGAGGACCCAAGGGTGGAGCTAAGCAACCACCTTGAGACTTTTGGGATATAAATGAGCCATGTTGAGCTGAGGCACTCACTCTCCCTTGGCCTTGTGGCTGGTGGCTTGGTTCTGGATCAGTGCTATTGGGGTTCAAGTCAGCAGAACTGACAGGATGCACTAACTAACTTGTATCTCTCTCTCTCTTTCCCTGGGTTGTTCCTTTCCTTTCCCTTTGTAAATAAACCCATTATTTACCCTTTTTGTGTGTGCCTGCAGTGCAGGTGAATCTTAAGCATGCAGGTGAGGACTCACAGACAGGTGGCCCAGTTCACTTTGGGCTGCCCTGTAACAGTTCAAGGGGAAGAGGGTCAAAGGCAGGAGGAAGCTGTCCTGCAGAGAGGAGAGCTGAGTACCTGACGGGTCTGGCGGGGTAGGGAATTGAAGCCGTGCAGCTCTCCACTCACCTTCTCTTCTACGATATATTGTTGGTCAAACTCTAAGGAGTAGAACTCGATGGGGAAGCTGCAGGGGTTCTTCACCACCACCTCGCCCTCGTCCCCAGCTGCATGCGGCAGCAGCGGCCCCAGCTCCAGGATGGAAGGACTGAACTCCAAGTGCGGCTCCAGGCCCTGCCCCTGCACCAGCAGAGTGAGCTTCTGAGAACTCTGGGCAATCTGGAACACCAGCGTTTGGCTGTAGGATTTCTGGAAAAAAGAAAATCAACATAAACACTTTTTCCTGCTACATGCCATGTGGAACTGCAAAACATTTTTTTCCTGCTACATGCCATGTGGAACTGCAAAACACCGGTGAACAAAAACCGATCCTATTTAGGTTGAGAGAGGAGACTTTTTAAACCGAGAGCACTGTCTACGAGTGTATTAACTCTGGGCACGGTGATGCCAGGCACCCTATGTGCTTCGGCCTGAGCAGGAGGCCTCCAAGCTCCCAAGCGTGCTCAAACGTCACCCCACCACCACCTGCACCTCTGGGCTCTGCTTTCCCAGGCTCTGCTCTGCACAGGCCAGGGGGAGCAAGGGGCAGGCGTAAAAAGGCAGTCACACCCCCGGACCTGACATGAACCAATGACTCAAGGTCGACTGTGTGCAGATCCTCTACTCTTGCTCCTAGGAGGGAGCAAGTGAATTTTGTGCATCTCCCCAGCTTCCCAGTGTGATCCAGCCCCAGTCTCCAAGGCAGCTGGCTGGCCGACGCAGCTTTAATCAGTCGCCTTTTCCTCCCCCGCCACCGCCTGCCTGTGTCAGTGCTCCTGCATGCCCAGACAGCCTGCTCGCACTCAAAGCCTTGCCTTCAGATCTCTCTCGGAGAATCTGATGCATTTTCTTTATTTGAGGTGTAGGTAAGAAGCAGGTGGGTGATGGTAAGATAGGGCACTGATTTCATCTGATACAATTAAAATCTCAATACTAGTTGATAGTGACACCAACCGCCCTAACCTATGGTCACTGGAAACGTAGTAAATGCAGATTCACAGGCCTGTCCCTCGAGATCCTGATACGGTGGGGTCAGGGGAAGCTCGAGGCACCTGTGCTTTTAACCAGGTGACCAGGCTGCTCTGATATAGGTGGGCTCATGAGTTGGGCTCGGAACCCTGAGAGGCTCCCTGCTTTGAAGAGCTCCAAGCTATGTTGGTGCAAGGGTCAAAATCTGGTGGGTGGAATGCACACGGCCATACAGGGACACACTCAGAAAATTCTCTGTAGGGTACAGTAAGAGAACATGTTATGACTAGGAGGCCTTTCTATGACGTAACAGGTTTAGCACCTTAGGACCCACACATTCTATTTTAACTTGTTTTTTTTAAAATGTAAATCTTTCTAAAAATTTTAGTTCTTTTCTTTGTTCTCTAACACAGTATTATGAACATATGCTGTACTATCGAAGAGGCGACTATGTGGGCTCAGTGATTTTCTGTGTGGCTGACACCGAGGGATACAGATGTGAACTGAATGGGCTAATGCCAGTTCCTTGGACACAGACCAAGTTCCTCTCCAGCTGGGGGAAACTTAACATGACCAGTTCCAACTCAACATCCATGGAGCCTCTTAGACAAATCTGTTTTTGATATTGGTACTTCCCTTGTTCAGTTAAACATCTGAAATCTTGACTAAGCCCCTTGACAGCCTTGCCATGCTTGAAGACTGCCAACTATTAATTTTCTTTCTTTTAAAAAGGGTGGGGAGAGTTTGATAATGATGGAAATAGGGACTTTATTTTAGAGGCAGATATGAAGTCATTCACTTTCCTTCTTTCTCACTGTTGATTTTTAAGTATTCCTTCAAAGCCATCCCCAAGGACATGAGTGTTAACCACAGGTATTCTGTAAAACTCACACAGATTTTTTTTTTCATTTAAAAAAGAGCAAATCATCTTCCAGATGCTTTAGGCTGTGAGAAAAATTCTGTACAATGTAACCTCTTGCGATCCCCTATGGCTCTAGGATTTTGTTATTTTTATTGTGTTCTTTGTGCTGATGCTCTTCACAAAAGAGACACTTGTGGGGCGCAGGAGGCTGCCTACCAGGAGGCACTTCTCTTATCCTCACACAACTACCACATTGACAGCCACAGCACACTACGTCAGAGCAGCAGGCACATTAACTCCTTGAGGGTCCCAAGTGACCCTAGAAGGTGGTCTTGCAGGTTGATAAGGTCTGGCCTGGAATTTTAGGGGTCAATGCATTCAAAGTCACACTTTAAGAAAGGTAAGCACTATGCCTATACCCTATGTCACCCAACACCCCTTGCATGGCCTGGGGCAGGTCCCCTGTTTGCAGTTGCCTTTGCAAACCAAGAGGGATTAAAAAGCAGGTTAGGGCCCTCCCTCGTGGCGCAGCAGGTTAGAGCACAGTACTAAAAGGCTAAAGCCACTCCAGCATGAATTTGATCCCCGCCTGGAGATGATCCATGGCGCAGCAGACCTCTCCTGACCCGCCTACAGTTCCCCTCAGCAGTGGACTTTGTCAGTGGGCCTGTGCTGCTCCCCCATCTCTGGTGAATCCTCTCACCAACTCTGCACCTCTGGCCTGTACCTCAGTTCTGTATGCATAAACAAATACATCTTTAAAAAAAAGTCTTTAACATAAGGTTAAAGAGCCTGTGTCAATTCAGATGAGGGTTTTTGTTCAGAGTTTAGGTATGGTACTTGTGACATTTTCCTTCTAGGTTGGGAGCTTATCGATTTCTGAATTGCAGTAAGGGATTTTTGACATGTGATCCTGTTATTTTGTTTCATCTGTGGTGAGGCTAAGTAATCTGCTCAGAGCCACCTGGCCTGGAAGGGGCGGGGGCGGACCTAGAGGCAGAGGCCACTAAGAGTCAGGAGGTTCGACAAGTCTGCCGGCTCCAGAGCTGGGGCACGGAGCCACCAGACCTCGTGGTCCCACCTTAGCCAGAGGCACTGGAGATGTCATATTTGGATAGCAAGACCCGGGTTACTCGAAGCTTCCCTGGAGCTCATAGCCGTCCGGGAATCTGAATAAAACCACATTTCTTTATAACTTACCTCCTCTTTGGGCATGAATTTCACTTGTACGTTGGATCTCTCACCAGGATCCAAGATTCCAGAGGAGGGCTGGATCTCAAAGATCCGGGTCTTTGGCTTTAATTCAGCATGCAGTTTCCGTTTTAAGTACTTTGGCATGTGTTTCTCGAGCTGGTTAATAAGTATCAGACAATCAGATCATCCCTACTGAAAATGGACTCATTTCATCCTCTGTTCACTCAACCTGCGTTTACGGAGTACGCCCCAGGTTTCGGGGATCACAAAGTCAAGATGTGGGACGGGGTCATGACCAGACAGGCCCTGGAGTGTGAGCGAAGGGCCCAGTCTTTCCACTGATGCCATGGCTGCCAGTGAGAGTCTGGGGCAGGGGTGCGGAATGATGAGGACAGCACCGAGAGTCACAAGCCCGACTGAAGAGGGGGTGGCCACAGGGGCCCACAGGTCACAACTCACCTTACTTACAGGCTGGTGGTTGTGGACAAACCATTCACAAGGGACTTGGAGGTGGTTGGAGAGCTGAATCGTCTCCACGAGGCACTGCCCACACTGGACTGTGGCAAAATCTACCTTCCCACAGGACAGTGACATGGTGGGGACGGTCACCTTGGCTTGGAGACAGATGTGAATGGTTGGCCCTCCGACCACCTACAGAGGGCATGAAGGTGCTGTTACTGGGTCTGCTCCGTCCCAGGGTGACCAGCAGGCAGAGCTGGAAGCTGGGACGGTGAGCTGCATCTCACCTTGATGGGCAGGGTGACTTCTTTGTTTCCAACGGAAAGTCCCGCCCCTTGTGGGTCAAATCTCACTTCAAATGTCTCCGTTTCACAGTAGGGCAGATTCTTGACACGATCTAGCTCAGTACTGAAGCCTGGAGCAAGATCAGTGAAATTCATTGGTGGGAAAGAGGATAAGCAAAGCACAGCTGCTCCAGATGGAGACCCGGGGGTGGAGTTAGGAGGGGCAGGAGGGGCACATAGAGGGTCCTCGGTGGCCCCAAAGTGTTTCAGCAGCTTCCAGGACAGCAGAAAGTCTGCTCCAGGAGGACAGGGCAGGGGACACCTTGTTGGGAAAGAAAAGGGCAGCAGGAAGGGGCCTCCTAGCCTGTTACCCGTGTCGTGAAGGATGCGCTTCTCAGCATGGAAGGACACTGGGAAGTGACTGGTGTTGGTGATCTTGATGATGTGGGTCTGGATGTCACCGAGGATGATGTAGCCAAAGTCCAGGATGTACTCCGGCAGATGGACTCTGAAATGGCAAACAAGCCCTCCTTACCATTTGCCTTTCAAACCTGAAGGCTGCTGTTCTCAAAGGGATGAAGTTCAGAGCACTCCTCTCTCCTGTGCACACCTCCATTCTGTGGTGAGCTCAGAACAACTGATGAACTGGAGACTGGAAACAAGACACTTCCCCCAGAAGTCAACACTGTGTCTCCCACGTTACTGCAAAGCCCAGCTGACCTGCCCTGACAGACCCGAGGCCAGGCCTGTCTGCTAGAGAGAGTCGGAGGATTCAACTTGGAGGGGCAGAGACCCGATGGCGGGACTGGGCTAGGGAAGGGCAGACAGGTGAGGTGAGGGGATTTCACCACATCATCCCGGAGCACGCTGGCGGGCTGTGATGCTGGCTCTGCTGTGTTCTGGCACAAACTGACTCACTTGGTCAGTTTGCGGCGGCTCCGATGGCTGAAGTCCTCCGTGGGATCTGTGGCATAGTCTTGAACTATAAGTCTCTCTACTTCCATCTGGAGCTGGGCACTTAACTGGAGCCAAGAGAAAGAGCAAGAGAGCAAGTTCTTCTAAAAATGCATCAATGGGAAAAACTGGTTCACACAGGTGGGTGGACGAAAACCCCAGATATCATAACGGTCTGTGGTTCTCCTAAGGGCTGCGGTACATACATGGACCCACAGCATAGCCTCAGTGTGTATCGGCACTTCCTGGGAGGCTGAGGCAGGGTAAACAAACAGGGGCCACTTTTGAGTAGCCTCCCAATCAGAAGGGATGAACTGGTGCAGATACAGTGGAAAACAGTTTGGAGAGTCCTCAAAAAATTACAAATAGAACTACCACATTATCCCCAAATTTCACATTGGGTATTTATCCAATAAATAAATAAACTTACAGTGATATATACACTTGTATGTTCGATTGCAGTATTATGTATATTAGCCACGAAATGGGAGCTACCTAAGCATCCATGGATGTGTAAATGGATAAAGAAAATGTGGTCTGTGTGTATACTATATATGTGTATACACGTGTGTGTATATGTACATATCTATAGCATATACACATATTCCATTATATGGATACATATGTGTGTATACTATCTATGTGTATACACACATATGTATATACACACACATATGTATATACACAATGTAAAATGAATCAGTCATAAAAAAGAAGGAAATCTTGCCATTTGTGACAATATAGACAGACCCTTGAGGGAAGAATGCTGAGTGAAATAAATCAGAGAAAGATATAAAATACTCTATGGTCTCACATATATGCGAACTCTAAAAAACAAGAACCAAAAACCAAAATAAACGAGCTCATGGATATGGAGGAAAGATGCATGTGTGTGGTCCCAGAGGCAGGGAGTTGAGCATGGAGTGGGCAAAATGGGAGGAGGGAGAAAAAGTACAAACTTCTAGTTATCAAATAAAGAAGTCATGGGGATATAATGCAGAGCATGGTGATGATAATTAATAAGACTGCAGCCATATCTGAAAGTTGCTAAGAGAAGATCTTAGCACCCAAGAAAAAAAACTGTCAATATGCATGGTGACAAGTCAGCCAGACTTACTGTGGTGACCATTGGCAACACATACATGTATCGAATCATTCCACCTCCAGAACTCTTCCTGAACCCAGCCAATTCTCTCTGCGCCTAAGGTGTTTGCTTTTGTTTACACATCTACCATCTCTCATCTAGATTTACTCCATCAGCTTAAAAAAGTAACCCTGACACATCTGACTGCAGAACTGGGTCAGCCTGAGCGGGAGGGTGGTGGGGTGGGTCTGGGAAGGGGTGGGGCATGCTGGAACATGGTGGTGGAGGATTATTGGGGCACAAGTGGTGGGCACAGTGTGAAAACGTACATTTTTATAAAATTCAAATCTGATTACTCAGAACCCTTGTTGAAACCGCCAATAACTTCCTGTCACCCGGAGGATAAAGTTCAAAACCCTTCCAGGTTCACAAGGAGGCTACTCAGGAGTTCTCCTTCGCTCCTTTACCTCCCTCCCTCTTTTGCTTTATACAGCGCTCTTTTCTTCTGTACCACAGATGACCATGTGCTTCCTGCCCCTGGGCCTCTGCATTTACTGCTGCGTTTCCACACGCGTTCTGCGCAGAATGAAGCCAGTCTTACCTCGGAAGCTTCGTCCTCAGGCACTTCCTCAGCTGTCTCAAATTGGTCAAATACTTCATATTTGTTGTACTCTTTTTCTAGGTTTTTCCTGGCCTGGTTCAAAAAGGTTTCATACTTTTCATTTCCTGTGGGAGTTGGAAGGAGATGTCAATCAGGGTGGTTAGGAAAACATGGACCTTGCTGAAAGCACTGACCCTCAGCTCTGGGTAAGCTCAGTGAGGAGGGGAATGAGCCTTTCGACACTCCACCAGCCATGTTTTCCTATTTCAGAGGGGGAGGTCATGGTAAGTGAGTTGAATTTCAACCAGAGACCTCACTGAGTTTTTTTTAATTTTTAAAAATACATTCATTACCTAATCTTTCATTGTTGTACAATGTACGGTCTTCCCGTGAAATCCCCACCACCTGTTCACCTGTGTGTCATCACCAAAGTCCCTTGTGCTCTTCGTACCCCTGTCCTGGTCCTTCTTCCTCCTCCTCCCCGCAGAATGTCTCTGCTCTATAGTTGCCTGATGACTTTGACTTTTACTGTATTATAGTTACTGTTTTCTTTAAAATAATTTTTTTTACATCATCTTTCATTTTTGTACAATGTATGCTTTACATCTCGGTTGCAACCCCCGTGGACTTCTGGCTACCAGCTCACCCATGCGCCGTCACCACAGTCACACCCCTGTTTTGATCCTATTCCCCTCTCTGCCCCCATAGAATGTCTCTGGTTTATAGTTGTTTGCTGATTTTAGTTTTTACTCCTTGGGTTTTAGGAGATTATGCATTAGCGGACCTGAGAGTGTGTCACTCGCAGGGTGACCCCCAGCTTGGTTAGTCCTTCCCCCTCTAGCACTGACCATGGCATCGGGGACCCCTCATGCTGGATGTCTTCAAGTTAGACTTCACAAACATTCAATCTCAGTGGGTGCAAAGAACACATGCAGGTCAAGTTGCTTTAATTACAGTGAGTAAGCTACACTCCCCCAAATCAGGGAGGGGAGGAAATCAGGAGAGATTTCTATCACCCAAGTTCACCATCGAGTCACTGCAAATTCAAATACTCGGGGGGAGGGTGAGGAGGCAAAGGACTTCAGGCAGCGGGGTCTGGGGTGCAGAAGACCCACCCAATGGTATTCACAGGAAAGATTAAATTTTTTTTTTGCTTTATCAATTTATTTGTTTGATTAGAGATGACAGAGCAATACTGTCACAGAATTCCAAAATTGCCAGTTTCATTTCAGGTTATTATTGTTTTTAAATTACACTTGTTTATTTTCTTAGATGGTTGTTAATTTTTGTATTTTGAGTTTCTCCCGTGAGGTGCAGCCCCCATAAGTCTGAGGCACACAGCAGGGGAGAGGGTCAGAGAGGGTTAAATCAGGGCAGGGAACAGCACAAGGGACTGTGGAGACTGTCACGGCTGCCGGGTGTTGCGAGAACTATGGGGACCATGCCTGAGGGAAGAAGCCAAATACTGTCCAAGCTGAATGGTGCTGTCCCAACCATGTCTCCTGCCTTCCTGGGGTCACCGGTCACCCCGTTTTCAGCCACATGGCAAAGCTTCTCCTTCCTGCCAGTTACATGTGGGGTCAGATGGAAGCATTTGGCTGGAACTCTCCAGGTTGGAGTGTAACCAGTATGCCCTAAGACTCACCAATGTTTGTGCTCACATTTTGGGGTGCGGGAAGTTAGGGTTTGATGGGTGATCCCCCAGAGGTGAACCACTGACTTCGGGGAGCGGGTGAGGCAAGGCTGAGGTAAACAGGCTTAGTGTGAGGCGGGTGATGGAGTGTGGGTTTCAAGGAGCTGGAGAAGGGATTCACGAGGAGAAGTGGGGAGCTTCTCTTGGCCCTTCAGCCTGCACTCCAAGCCTGGAGGAGAGAGCCGGAGAGAGCCTATGACTGGAAGAGCTGCTCAGCTGTGCTTTGGGGTCAACCAGGACAAGACATGTTGTCAGGGAAGTGGCTCCTGGGGGTCAGAGGTGAAAGGGAAAGCCTCTGATGTCATGTGGGTGCACACCCTCTGGAATGGCAAATGAAGGGGTCGGATGTCTGTGGCTGCCTTTCTGAAGAGTTTGTGTTGTGAAAACAGTACTCCTGATGGTGTCGCCTTCTCAGAGGCCATGGTGAGGGTGCTCTTGGGGGATGACCCAGGGAGAGTTAGCTGGAGGAGAAGGCCTTTGGAAGTGTAATTTCTGAGTCCTCTGCCATAATTCAGTGATGGCAGAATTGGCCAGTCGCCTTAACTCTGGACAGCCATGGACTAAGCTCTGGTCTCCGAGACAATTTTGATGCTCAACTTGTTTCTGCAACGGAGGACTAACGTAGAAGGCAACTAGAGATGGCTGTCAAGCAAAAGCGCAAGTGCCCATCATTCGAAAGTGCATCTTCTGCTCCCCAGTAGTTAAATACTACAACAGGTCACAGTACCTTTTAGGTTCCTGGGGAGATCGAGACAGATTCGGGGAAAGATTCCTTCTCCATTGAGAGTGATGCTTTCTGGGTCCAGGTGGGCAATCTGTATCTGGAAACTCCTTTGAAAGACCTCAGGGACTCCAGGTAAGTAGTAAACCTTCAACACCTGCTCCTTATGTGAACTGATAAACCCCTATGCAGCAGAAAGACCAGAGAGAACTTTAAAACCTGCAGTTGGTGTTGCTTCTGGTACAGACGTCTAGATAGGCCCCAGGGGTATTGTTCTGGTATTCACCACTCAGCTTCACCCTGCAGGATTCACTCTCCCGAAGCTATGAGGAAATGACAAGCCAATGTACAGAGATAGGCAACGTGTGTGACCAGGCATTTCATAAAAGAGGAAACACAGGGCCCTCTCTGGTGGCACAACAAGTTAAAGCGCAGCACTATGACGCTCTCCAAAGCTCTCTGCAGTCACTGCAGCACGAGTTCGATCCCCAGCCAGAGAGCTGACCCACATGGCACAGCAGACTTCTGACCCACCCGCTGCTCCCCTCAGCAGTGTATTTTAGTAGATCTGTCTGTTCTGCTCCCCACCCTGTCTTTGGTAAAATCTCTCACCCCTCCGCCGTATCTTTGGCCTGTAGCCCAGTTCTTGTATACATAAATAAAAAAATATTAAAAGAAATGAGGGAACACAAATGGCAAATAAATGTAGTAACAGATGCTCATTCTTATAAAGAACCAGGGAAATGCAAGTTAAGATCATAATAAATTGTTTTTTCATCCACACAACTGGCAAATTTTACCAAATTTGGTAAGAATGTACAGAAAAAGCAACTCAGACACATCTGATGGGAATGGCAAGGGGAACAGTCACTGTGAAAAACACACTTTAGCAAAATCTTGTGGGTTGGACATGTGCACAGGTCATGACCAAGAAATTGCTCTGCGGGAAATTTTCCTAGAAAGTTTTCACCTGAACAAAAGACCTATATAAGAATATTTGTAGCAAGATTGTTTCTAATAGCAAAATTTGGGAGAAGACCCAAATATGTTTTGGAGAAGAACCAAATATGCTTTTACAGGAAAGTGGAAAATTATTTTCAACATAAAAGGAATATTATTCAGTGGTGAAGATAAATGAATGATAGCTACATGCAAGAACTAACTGGTCTTACTTAGAAGCACAATATTGAGTGAAAAAACCAAACTGCACAAGATTATATTTCTGACTCTATTTGTTTATAAAGTTCACGATAAAGTCTAAGCCCATTAAACAGGGTGGCTTTAACCCAAGGTGACTGTTAGTTTCAGGGGAGTTTGTTTTACTATTGTGCTTTATAAGCCAAACATGCTCTGTCAATTTTTTTTTTTTTTACATACCACAAACATCACATAAAACTAAAAAAATTATCAGTAAGGTCACAATATAACTTCCAGGTTAGTAGCCAGAAAATAAAAGTGACAGAAAATCACACAGCTACACATGTCTGTAAAAGGCACAAAGGGGAAACTAACATCCAGGGAAGTGCAAGTTACTTAGAAGTATATTTATTTTTAAGATTCATTCATACAGAACTGGGGTACAAGCCAGAGGTGAAGGGGCAGTGAGAGGATTTACCAGAGACAGAGCGGGGGGCAGAACAGGCAGATTGATGAAGTGCACTGCTGAGGGAAGCAGTGGGCAGGTCAGGAGAGATCTGCTGGGCCATGTGGATCTCCTCGGGGGCTGGAGATCGAACTCACACTGAAGTGGCTGCAGTTAGCTTGCAGTGCTGCATTCTAACCCATTGTGCTACCAGGGAAGACCCACTTAGAAGTATTTTTTTTTTTCCCACTTAGAAGTATTTTAAAAGCCATTTCTGAATGGGCTCCCTTATAATTTTGAACATATGTTATGAAATTTTGCATATTTTAAGGTGTGTGTGTATATGTGTGTTTGGGTGTGTGTATATATAAGGGTCACAGGCTGGGGGCAAATTTCAGAGGGTGCAATGTTTGATAGTCTCCAGGATTCTCTCTCACATCCTCTTTCTCTCTTTTCTCACCCCTCACCCCTGAGTGAAGCAATCCACCACCTTTCACGTTTCCCACAGAGAGGGTCTCCCTGCACTCCAGGTTTTGAGTGTGAGGAGAGGTGTGGGTCCTAGCTTTTATTTTGAGTACTTATCGATGTGTTTTTCTAAGAAAGAGTTCTCTCATGGTATTCGGAGTGGGGAATTGTCCTTATATTGTTGTTCTATGTTCAATATCCATGTATATGATGGAATTCTCTAGCCTTTTGTTTTCATAATGACAATTTGGCCTCATAATAGGATATCTGATAAAAAATAGAAAAACATGGCGGGGGGAGGGAAATTCCATTTAGAGACAAAACCAAGGGTCAGTTACAAAGGGGCAGCGCAGAGAGGAACACAGCAGACCTGAACGGCTCTTCTCAGCGAGGGCTACTTGGAGTGGAGGCTTGCACATGCTGCCTGCGTCGGCTGGGGCCCAGGTCTGGATTTGGGATCTGCACACCTGTCTCCCATGGTCCTCATGAACTGGAAGGCTACTTACCGAGCGAGGCAGGATGAGTGGCACCCCAGGCAGAAGGTTGTCAGGTGAAGAGTGATGGTCATTCAGAACCTTGAACTCAAAGCCTACTTTGCCGGTGTTCTTCAACGTGATTTCACTCTCTGTGACACGGTCAAATAGCTTAAGAAGAAAAAGAGGGAGAGTGACCCCTCTGCCACCCATACTTTGGGGTGTTGCTACCACCCTGACAAAGCAGGTAACTAGATTCTCCTTGTAGACATGGATTAGTATTTTCCAGGTGTAGAAGCAGGCAGACTCACATTTTAGCAAAGTTGCCCACTGAGGCAGTGGGATCACTAGACCCTGGAAACCAGGCTCTCACCTTAGATCTTTGAACAATTGATTTAGTTCAGTCACTGATTTATGACCATGAGGTGGGCATCTAACCTCATTTCTTCACCATAAAGTAAGCTTTTCAGTATTAAGAAGATTTTGCGTTTTGGGAGGGGGAGAGGGTCAGATCACAGTTCAGATTGATCTAGAATGAAGCTTTTTATTTATTTGGAGAGACATGATAGTAACAGGTCAGACATGTCTTTTTCCCTGAGATTTTGCCTAGATATCACAGCAGCCAGTTCGGCAGGCTCAATAACCAGAAACTGAGGTCACTTCTGGGGTTCTTAGGCCAAGCTAGGATAAGAACTGGCCGCTTCAAAGACCAAACTCTGAGCCCAGACAGAGCCAACTGCTGAGAGGTAAGGAATGAAAGAGAATTTTATTGGTCAATGCAGCAGATGAGGTCTCAAACATGTTGAGTGAATCTGAGTTCAGGCACAATCTTTAATCTATAAAAACAGACAAGCCCCACACCTAGTAGTTAGATGTGCAGAAGCCACGTGTACATAATGGAGGTCTACGACACTAAATTTAATAAGCAGTAAGGTCTCTGAGTACACAACACAAATTATGATTGGGAAGAGAAATTGTAGAAATAAAGAATTAACTGTCAATGATTCCAAGGTAAAAATTACAGAATACAGTATATTATGACAAAAAACTGTATTTGAGTGCCATCAAATGTAAGAAAGTGAGAGATAACCCAGGGGTGAAGCTGAGTTGGGACTCAGAGCACAAGGGGGTTCGGGGCTGCAGAGTGGAAGATGAGAGGGATAATGTAAGAGGAAGCATGCAGACAGGAAGGAGGGAGGTATCAGGGAAGGAGTAAACTAGCTTGGCTTCAAATAATCAATAGGCATAACGGAGAATTCTGAGAAACAAAGCTTACCAGACACTTCGGTTGGTATCTGGTGACATAGGTGTGACTATCCAACCCCTGTTTTCTAGATGAGCAATGTGTCCAAGGCCACAGTCAGTAGGAAAGTAAGATGAGACTATTATCTTAGCTCTGACTATGAAACCATACTCCTTTTTCAGTACTCTGTTGTTCTCCCTTATGTTGCTGTGGTTAATTAGTCCAGGACTGATGGCTTGAAAATGCAATGGGAAAATCTGACAATGACATTTGGGTGGGCTGTTGGAAGAAGCTCTGTGTATTGTGGTTCCTTACTTGCATGGGGTCCATGGGCCAGCAGCTTCAGCACTGCCTGGGAGCTTGTTAGGAATGCAAATGTTTAGGCTCCACCCTGGGCCCACTGAATCAGAATCTGCACGTGAACACGACTCTTGGGTGACTTGTTTGCACAGCAATTTTGAGAAAAACTGCTGCGATTAGTTTCAGCTTGTTTTGGTGAGATGAGTGTGGTAACCACAGTGGCGGTGGGAAGGGAAAACACACCCTGTGGGTTCCAGCAAAGGGGATTAGCAGCCACTGCGTGGTGCAGAGATGTGGGGAGATGAAGGGCTGAGCGCAGGTGGAAAACGCCTTGGAGGTGGGAACTTGAGTCTGGAGAAGGCAGCAGTGCTATGTAGAAGAAACAGCGAAGCTGGAATGGGCTTCAGCATTGAGAGTGAAGATGCACATGGAGTGGCATGCTGAGTTTCAGCGAGGCAATGAGAAAAGCAGGTGAAGATATCTGGCTAATAGTTGGTGGTGGGAGGAAGTTTGGGTTTAGGGAGGCAGATTAAGGATCAAAGATGGGGTGCTGGTGAGGCAATGACAGCTGGGGCACCAGTGGCGATGGGCGCATGAGGACGAGGATGGCCAGGTCCCCTCCGCCCCACAGTTGGCAATACCTGCAGTCCATAGTTAATGTCCATGGTGTCAAAGGAGTAGCTGACCAAGGACGCCTCTCCCTTGAGTGTAATCTCATAAGTGGGCCCACCTTCCACTTCACACAGAGCTTTCGCCTGCGCGACGATGTCACAGTGCCCGTAGAAGGTGAAAGAGATCTGGTGGCTGCTGTGGGGGGGCAGCACTCCATAGAGGGGCAGAATATCAAACACCTGCAGAGAAAGTCACTGGCCATGAGAGCGCCCACCGGGAAGAAGGGTCTGCAAAGGGTAAGTTCAAATTGTCAGCTTACAGATGAATTGCTAACTTGGACTCCTTTGATTCCACGAAAGCCCAACACCCTGAAAACGTGATGGGGTGGCGGCAGCAGTGCTCTGTCAGGATTTAAATTTCTAACCCAGAGCAGGTGCTCCGTCAGAACAGCTTTAGGGCCCATGAGGTGTGACTTACTTCTTCTATCCCAATGGTAAGCATGTCCTCCTGCTCAAAGAGATGGAGGGATTCCTGAAACTCCCGACTCTGGCTTGAGACCGATCCTTCTGTTCCAGTAGAGTTTATCTGTAATTCCCAGATGTTAGAAGGAGGAAGAAAAGCTAGCCTGTTCTCGTGCTAGGTCATGAATGGCTCCTCCCCATGGAGGTAACTGGACATTTTGGTCAGTGTCCAAAATATGAGTTCCAAGCATATTTACCATGGTGTTATTTATAACAGCAAAACTCTGGAAGCAAACTAAGAGGCCTTTAAAAGGAGGTCACTTCACATGACGTGTGATGTAAGATGAGACTATTTGAGGACTTGGAATAACGTGAATGACATGAGTGAATGAAAAGCTGTTTTATTCATGTCAAATTACACTTGCTGGTGGGACACTCCTGCAGTGCGAACATGTGCAAGTCTGGGTGGAGACCTGCACGTTCATTTTTCTGAATTCTTGGATATATTATAGTTAACATCATTGAAAAGGGGGAAAGTACTATGGGCAGGTATGAATTTAATGTGCACACTTCTAAAGACAATGGCAGCTACAAAAAGCTCCAAAGACAGAGTATTAATGAGTCACTGAGTTGTCCTGCTGGGTGTGTATGCGAGGTGTCTACATAGCTGTATCCTGACTTCTCAGTGCACGCTGTGAGGTCCACCCCTCCATGTGGCGATTCCTTACTAGCACCATTTAAACCACTTTCAAAAACAGGGGTTGCATCATGTACATGATGCAACACTAATTAAATGTGGTAATGAAATCCCATCTTTATTTTCTAGCCTTCAGGATCCCTTTTTCCCAGAGGAACCATGCCTGTTTTCTTCTATGTTCCATTTAGTTATCCTACTTATTGAGGGGTTATTAGGAGCCAGGCATGAGCTAAATTCTGGAGATAGAATAGTAAACAAAACAGAAAAAAAAAATCCTGCCCTCACGATGCTGACATTCCAGAGATATCACATGTACAAGCTAAGAAAACCTTGTAACTATGTCACTGGATCTCATGGGGAACACACTAGTGGGTTAATGGCAAGCCAGACCACCGAGGTGCCAGCCCCACAGCTTGGTGGGCATATCCCCAGGTTGGGAAAGTGGGGAAAGAAAATAGTACCCTCACAGGGTTGTTGGGAGAATTGAGAGAATGAATGTTTAAAAAGTAACTTAGAATGATGTAAAACCTGCATGCACTCAATTTTTTTTTTAACCACTCTTATCTTTTATAAATGGGAGCATTCTCTGCACCATTTTGCAGACAGTCTTTTTACTGAGCCATTGAGAGTGCTCCCCATCAGCATTAGAGGATTTCCTCGTTTCGCTCGGGGGACTACCCTGTACAGATGGAACCTGCTGAGCCAGCATCCTAACGGCTGTTTCCGATGCATCTCACTTTTTCCAACAAAGCTGCTGTGTACGAGCACAGTCACATGTGAAGGTGGTCCTCGGCAGTACCGTCCCGGCAGTCTGCACGCGGCAAGTCTGAGACCCTCGCCAGCACCACAGGTCACGGAGGCTACAGTAATTCAGCCCCACTTACAACGTATTCGCTACCCTACTCTGCACTTCCACTGAGACATTTTAAACGACTCTATCACTATGGACTGACAGTAATTTGCTTTTCCAGATTTTTGCTGTTTCTAAAGTGTTGCACCAAACATTGTTTGGACATAGTTCTTTGTGCTTCAGCTGATTTCCTTAGACTAGTATTCTGGGAGCATTTAAACATGTGTCTTTTTAACCCCTCAGGATAATCCCCGTGTTTTTACTATGAAATTATTGATGAAAATATTCCTCCTTTTGCAGCTGCTGTCTAGGGGCCGAGGAAGCACAAATTGCAGGGTTCAGAGATAACCTACTTTTCCAGAGAGAATCTGTTTGGTGAGGTGTCCAGGGTTCCCTCTTGCTGAGGTGTTGGGTGGGTGTTTGGTTGGGAAGTGACTTGGATAAAGTTGGCAGCTTCATCCTAACCAAACCTCAGCCACTCTGCCCCTGGCTCTGCCTTTGTTTTACAGGAAGGACCCCCCCCCCCCCGCCACCATTTGCCAACCTGCCCCAGGGAAAAACAACCGTACATCTGACACATTCACCGTGGGCTCCTGAGTTATTTTGTGTTCCCTTTCTTCAGATATAAACTCTTCGCTCACAAGCGTGGCCCTGGGGAGTTAATGAAACCAGTCACTCATCCAGCAGCTGAAAAGCCCCACCCTCCTCTCTCCCTCTACTGTGTCCCCAAAGATAAGCGGGAGTTCTCACTTAAAGGACACCTTTCTTGAGGGGACAGCACTGTTCTCTCTGTTCCCAAACATGCGGCCTAGGGCCTCAAACTGGGCAACTTCCTCTAGGCTCCAACTCTTCATTCCTGCCCTATCAAGCCTGTGTCTGACTGACAAAACATTCTGGGAAGTTCCAGCAATTTTTCAGGCAATTTGGACATGTCCCTGGTGTCCAGTGCTAAATGTCATCATTGAGTAGAGGGCTGCGTTGCGTGGCTATCCTATTTGTCCATCAGATCCTTTCTGCTTGCTATCCCTGACCTGACTTTGCCTGACCTGACTTGGCAGATCCAGAGGACAGTGTGACAGGAAGGGCTCAAGTTCCCCAGGGCCCAGAAGCCTACGACCTCCTGAGAGCAGAGATGACTTTCAACTCCGCAACCTAGATGCCTACCAGGTCCTACCACCAAGAAAGACACTCACTAAACTGTGGGCTGGTTGAATGAATAAATGAGGGATGAACTTGAGAATGGGAGTTAGCATAGACAAAGGATGCTATTTAAAAAATTAATTCTGCCTTTGCCTTTGCACTTACCTAAAATCACTTAAATCCATCTCAGGGGACTCTATCACCGGGATTGCTGGCGAGGTGACAGATGCTGAGGTTACCACGATGGAATCCACCTGGGACGTAGTGGCGCTGCCGGACTTCCCTGGCCACGTCACAAACCTACAGATACATTGGGGAAGGAACACAGACACACCTCAGCTGCACAAGCCACTGCCCGGGGGTGCTCTTGGTTTCTTAGGGTAAGCCCCAAATGCTAGACCAGGTCAATTTGGCAGGGGCTGCCTTCCGCCTTCCCTGGGACGCCTCTTTTTCAAATCTTACTTCCACTTTCTCCTGAAGTGGCTGCTGACCACCCCTCCCAGTGTGGCCAGGTGTCTCTCCTTTGATTTCCTACCTCACACGTCCCTGTTGGATTGTGAAGCCTGGAGGGCCTGTCTTCATGGTGTCTATATAGTGCTTGGTGGGAGGGGCACTGAGGGTGTTCATGAACAAATGAGTAACAGCGATCCTGCTCCCTGGGCCCCAGAAAGCAAGGTTGGGACCAGAGCCAGGCCCGCAAGGAGCTCGCTCAGCATCCTGCATGACTGCCCGACCTCAGCCCCACTTCTCTTAGGTCTGCCTCAAGCTGGCCCTGGCCAGAGGGTGGAGGGACAACCTGGGGGCTATACCCACTAAACACCGTGTGACCAGCTGTCACTCTTTAGAAGGGCTCTGGATGTCATAAGGGCCAAAGCGGAGAGTCACCCCATTCTCCCTGATCCCTTTAGGGTGTGTTTGAATTTTTATGGCCTTTTGCCCTGCTCATCTCAAACTCTTGATACTAATCTCAACCCACTGTCTCCTCCAGCTTCCCTCTGGCTCCACCTGCACTCTGCTCCACCTGCGCCTCTCCTTGGCTTCCGGGGCCCAGCAGCAAGGTCAAATAATATGTGACATGCTCACATGGCCTCAACTCCCCACTGGGCGCCACCTTCCCTGCCTCTGGAGTTCCCTGCCATGCCGAGTGCCATTTTATAAAATCAGGGCGTTCCACACCCAACACCATACTGAGCATTCCCTAACAGACATCAATTTCACTGAGGAGCAGTTTACAAACGCAGGCACTCACTGTAGGCACGCGGTGTGATGGGTGTTTACGAGTGTGTATATGTGTGTACAACCACTACCACAAGCATATGCCAGACATTTCCATCATCTTAAAAGCTGTGTTGGCCCCCAAACCCCAACTCAGGCAAACACGCACCTGCTTTTTTCACTATAGATTAGATTTGCCTACAGCTTCACAGGAATGGGATAAAAAATATGTATCCTCTTGTGTCTGGCTTCGTCTTGCTCCACGTGACGTATTGGTTCTGTGATTCTAGTGGGTAGGGCCATCCTCTGGCACTGACCAGTACCCCGAGCTCTCTAGCTGTCTTCCCTTTGACAGATGCATAGGCTGTTCTGGGGGTTCACGTACTTATCAACAAAGTTGCTATGGACCCATCTTTGTGTGGACGTGTGTCTTTGTTCTCCTGGGGTAAATCCCCAGGCAGGACAGTGCGGGGTGGTGGCAGAAGCGTGCCTGACATTGGAGGGAACCACCAAAAGGACTCCTTGTGGCTTTGCACTATTCTGCACGACTGGCGAGCGCCTCGGAGAGGCCATCTCCTCACCCACACTTGGTATTCAGGCTCTTAAATTTCAACCATTTGGGTGAGCCTGGGTGACAGCACATTGTGGTGCTCAGTAACATTTACATTATTTCCATAAATGAAAACACTGAGGTTTAATCTGTCATATTTAGAAAAATCAACAATTTGAAGGGGGAAAAAAATCAATGATATTAGTTTGTTGTCTGCTGAAGGCTCTAAGCTGAACTGATTGCTCTTTCTAAGAAGCAGGTCAGCTCACAGCACCTTTGGGAATGCCGTGGACGAGCTTCTGCCCAGGCTGGGCTCACCACCCCGTAGATCTGCAAGCGCTTGGAGGGCAAGATCCAAGGTGTAATCTCTTTGCAGGCATCACAGCCCAGGGCCTTATACACAGTTCATGAGCTCAATGCATGGTTGATTTATTGGAGAGCTGAGGGATGGAGGGGAGGTGGGAGGTGGGAGGCATGGAGGCATGGATGGATGGATGAGCCTCACACAGGAGTTGAGACTGTTGAGTTCTCCTGCGGACCTGTCTCCACTTCATCCCATCTGCGATGGCCTTGGAGAAGAGTGGACAAACTCATCTTTTCTTCTTGCATGAGTGTCCATGTGACTTATCCAGACCAAATGTCTCCAGCTGGCTCAGGCTGACACATTTTGGCAGAGAACCCAGGCTGGAGTGGGTGCTGGAAAGCGCCATATCATAAAGACTCGCAAATCTCACTTGTGGGTAATTCAGATTTGGCATGTCTCAGGCAACAACCAGGAGGGAGATTTTTAAGAGCCCTCCCAGGTGGCTCTAAGATACAGTCAGTTTTAGGCCAAGTCATAGGTAGGAATGAAAACATGATGGCTAAGGACTAGAACTGATAATTACTATGGGGCTCTCACACAGCCTTACCAGTCAGGGGCGGCAAAAACCATAGAGGGTGATTCGGAGCACTTATTAAATCACCCCAGGTCACCAAAGATGCCTGGGGAGACTCTGCCAGATCGCTGCCCCGCATAATCACTCTTTCTCAAGCAACATTTGCACCCCTGTGATGCTGGGTTGGATGCGGCGGGGGAAGCACATGGGACTATCTGTCATGGAAAAACACAGCGCTGGGGAGTGTCTGTGGACCCGAGGAAAAACAACACCTCGGATGATAAACCGGACAATTGGGAGGTGAGAGGTCTCTTGGGAAACAAACAGAGGAGGTTGGCAAAGCAGCCCTCCCCGCTCACAGACAGAGCCGCGGGACACAGGGCAGCCTTTATCATCAAGGCTTCCACGTATCATCAAAATTGAAACCTGCTCCAAAAAATGGAAATAGAATGCTGGTAGAGCTTTTTGGATCAGATTTCATTCCACCCTCAGGAACAGATGATTGCTTTCCTGTTATGCTGACCCAAACTGGATTAGATTCAGTTATTTTTAAAAGCGAGTGCGTAGCAAGCAAGGAAAATCAATATTGCACCAATTCCAGAGCTTTCCATAGCAGAGTCACTGGGGAGCCAGAGGAAGCCTCCCTTCCATGGTGGGGGTCGGGGTGCCTATCACACACCGTGTCGAGGCCACCAGTGTGGCCTCAGCAATTTCCCTCTTCCTATTTTATTTTTGTCTCTTGGGGAAGTCAGGGCCAGGGCATCCTTTAATCAGGCAAATTTTAGAAAGTCTCCTGCTCTTATTTCCTGTTCCTCCTTCACTGGAGGCAGTGCTGCATCAAAATCAGAACCCAAAGGATGGGCTTGTATCTCAGATCACATTTTGTGCTGTGGCTCTGACAGGATTCAGGGATGGAATGGTGTCCGCTAGACATTTGTGCAAATGGCAGGCCTCGTAAACAAAGAGCAGCTGTGGTGTAGACACGTGTCTTCCAATTGCTTCATTCACTGGACCTGGATTCTGAGAGTGGACACAGGGACCCTGCAGTGGGTTCTGTTGGGCTCAAGCTGTTGAGTTTTGTCTGACTTAACCACTGTGGCAGATGCTGTTAGGGTGCTGCCTAGACCCCCTTTACCAGGAAGGGGCTCCTTTCTCAGGAGTATTGCCCTGGAAACATGGGGGCGACCCTGTCTTCCTTCACTGACTCTCTTAGAAGGTTCTCCCTCAACACATGACCATGCCCTGTGTCCAGGGCATTCTTTCAAGTACTGCATGACCCCGAAGATGCGAAAACCAGTTCTTACTACAGCAGACCCCAGGGCCAGTGGTTAAGTGTTGGAGACACAGGGCTCCCACAGTAAGAGCATATGGGGTTCAGTGCAAGCCGGTAGGGGGCCCGTGGGGATGATTTATCTGGTGGAGTCCCTGCTTACATACTCTGGCCTGGGCACCGTATCAGTGATAGAAGCTGCCCTGACTAATCGTGGTGATTAGGCAATATGCCTGGCAGGTGCACGGGTTACTAGGAGGGAGAAGCCCAGTCATTTCTGGATTTCAGTTGAGGGGCAAGACCACTGGTATTCAGACAAGGTAGAAACTGACATGCCCTCGATTTGTCTGAATCCTAATCAGATGCTGTACCCAGTTAGTTGTAAAAATGACCCCCCAATTCTTGTAAGCATGGCACTCTGCACTGTTAGTTGTCTCTGCTCCCTGCAGAGGGGGAGTCTATTTCTCCATGTCACTTCTTTGACGAAAGGGGAGTCAGAGGATGGCAAGTGGCAACCTGCAAACCATCCAACCAGTTCACAGATGTGTGAGAACAAATAAATGTTTGATGTTTAAACAGTGACAGGTGTTTTGTTATGTGGCAAAAGTGAACAGATACAGATTGGTTGTGTTTATCCTTAGCACAGCACTCTGTACAAATACCCTCAATAACTAACCATAGGATGAAGACGTGAATGCAAATATTTCAAGAGTGGACAGAAAATGTCAGCAGCAGGGTGTGTTGCTCATCATTCTTATAAATCATTCATATCAAAATGAGCAAATGACCTGCCACAGCCACTGAGGCTGGTGTGCTCCTATGTGGTTCTGAGGTCCATACTGAGGCTGCAGTATCCAGGGGTGCAAATCCTGTGCCAGTCCATGCGTAAGGCAAAGGGAGTAAGTCAGGCTCTGTTCTGCCTCCTGTCGCCGCCTCTGTGGCTGCCACCAGAGGCCTTGTTTTCCTCCTCGTTTCACTGCCCACATACATTATTGTGTTACTGCAAAAAGTGCTCGGGAACCAGAGCATGGGGCACTTACACTTATGATTACAGACATCCGGGGTGAGAGGCCAGAGAGCAGGGGGCATACACATATGTAATTATGAACCCCTGGGTGGAGAGAGACATAGAGGTTGGGGGAGAGACAGTAGCCAGAGAGAGAGTGAGACCATGCGGACGGGGAGTCTTGGCTGCTGTCTCCTCAAAGCCCCCTCTGCGGCCCTGCCTGCTGCTCTGCCTGTGTCCCCGCATCCGCATTAAATGCCTGACAAATCTGACGCCTCTGAGACTCTCTTTCCATTTGTCTGAATCAACAATCAACCTGCCCACCTTGGGATGGTGGCACAGCACCGTGTTTCACTGGGGAGGTATTTTTTTCCTACTGTT